GATTTTGAACAAGAAAAAGTTAATAATAATAATAATAATGATAATAATAATAAAACATGCTCAAACAAAAAGAAGAAATGGTCAGACAATAGGCTCCACTCCAGACTCAGTGCCAACCATTTTTGAATCTTCCTCCTGTAGAGGGACGTGCCCGACTTACCCCCAGCCATGCCAAGGATAAACAAGCGCGTTGCACTGCTCCACAAGAACAGCTCGCAAACGACTCGGATCCGCCGCTGGGGATTTCCGATCCACTACCTTGAGGCAGACGCGTATTCTTGCTCGGATGTTTGCGAGTAGGCACTGTTTTTTCCACCGCAAACACCAAACAGTTTCAGCCCCAGCACCGATACCGAACTGAGTCCGCTTCCCCTCAAGGGGGGCTATCACCACCACTCCAGACGAAATACGGGCAAGAGCAGCTGCGATGTCTGCGAGTAGGCACTTTGCGAGCAGTGGAACGCGCTCGGTGACCGACGGGGGGGCGGCAAACCTGCCGCCCCCCCGTCGGGGCCGTAGGCGACCCGAGGAGGAGGAGGAGAGGAGGAGGAGGAGGAGGAGGAGGAGGAGGAGGAGGAGGAGGAGGAGGAGGAAGGGGGAGGAGGAGGAGGAGGAGGAGGAGGAGGAGGAGGAGGAGGAGGAGGAGGCGGAGGAGGAGGAGGAGGGGGAGGAGGAGGAGGAGGAGGACGGGTCGCCCAAGCCCTTCGGAGAAACCCTCCACGGCCCAAGCCGCGCCAGGCAGCCCGAAGGTGCGCAAAAGCGCAGAGGCCCGGAGGCGGCGGCCGAAGCAGGGCTCTCTCTCGGCGTCTCTCCCGCCGCCGGCACCGACCAGCCTCGAACTTTACCCCTAGCCCTCGGACGGGCGAGCAAAAAGCGAGGCACAACCTTCTGGGAGGAGGAGGACGAGGAAGGAGGAGGAGGACGAGGAGGAGGACGAGGAGGAGGAGGAAGAAGCAGAAGCAAATGAAGAAGAGGAAGAAGAAGCAGACGCCGGCACTGACCAGCCTCGAACTTACCCCTATCCCTCAGACAGGCGAGCAAAAAGCGAGCACAATCTCAGGGATGTGCCCTAAGAAGCTGCGGGGAATCCTGAAGATCGGCATCGAGGTGGGGTGATGCCAAACACAGGGGCAGGGCTATGCTTCAGACTGGCAAGGCACGCGCGAGTGCGAACGCAGCCCCGGCCTCCGAGGTCGGGGCTGTTTTTTTTGGGAATCCCGAAACAGTGCGGTGACAGACCGTGCGGTGACCTCCAAATCCCCCAGGACCTCACCGCACGGTCCGTCCACGCACGGTCGTGGGACCCTAGAGGCACCAGTCGCCGAGACGTCCTCGGCGAGAGACCCGAGTCCCAAAACCGTGCGGTGACCCCGGATCCCCACAGACTCACCACACGGTGTGGTCACCACCCCGATTGTTGTCACGGCGCGTGGCGGTTCCCCGGGAGCGGCACCTGTCACCCCGAGGGGCTAGTGGCGGCCCTCGGAGAGGCCGACGATCGGCGCCGAGCGACGGGGGGAGGTGAGAGGGAAGGAGGAAGGGGGAGGAGGAGAGGAGAGGAGGAGGAGGAGGAGGAGGAGGAGGAGGAGGGAAGGAGGAGGAGGAGGAGGAGGAGGAGGAATAGGGAGGAGGAGGAGGAGGACGGAGGAGGAGGAGGAGGAGGAGGAGGAGGAGGAGGAGGAGGAGGAGGGAGGGAGGAGGAGGAGGGGAGGAGGAGGAGGAGGAGAGAGGAGGGAGGAGGAGGAGGAGGAGGAGGAGGAGGAGGGAGGAGGAGGAGGAGGAGGAGGAGGAGGAGGAGGAGGGAGGAGGAGGAGGAGGGAGGAGGAGGAGGAGGAGGAGGAGGAGGAGGAGGAGGGAAGGCGTGTGAGGGGGTTTCTCAGAAGGCGGCGGGGCTTCTCAGAAGGCGGCGCGCCTCGAAGCAGCCCACGTCGGCGGAGGCCGCTGACAACTTATTTTTCGGAAGGCCCGGGAACCTCCGAGCCTTCGGAGGAGGCACGCCTTGTTGGGCGCACGTGAATGGGGGGTCGATCCATGGGGGGGGGAGGTGCCCTTCTCGAGCTCTAAAGGCCCCCTCTTGGGCCCTAGAGGGCTCCTTCGGGGGCCGTAGTGTGCCCCCTTCTGTAGCCCTGGATGCCCTCCGTTGGTCGCCACCCCACAAAACTTATTATACCAGCGATATCCCAAATCAGAGGATGATTCGGAAATTCGTGATATGGATGGTGACATCGATTGTGATATCGATCGTTGAATTACTGATAGTGAGGACGACTGTAAGGTCGATCGGGAAACCTGTAGTGAAGTCGATCCAAAGATATCGATAGTGAGATCGATCGTGAGATCGCTCGTGCGATCTATAGTGAGAACACCTGCGAGACCGATAGCGAGATCGATTTTGAGATCGACTCTGAGATTGACCGAGATGTTGGTGGTGAGATCGATGGTGGGACCGATCGATCAGAAGATCGACCAGGAACCGGGGAACCCGGGAACCCCGCCGCCCACCGAAATCGGCTGGAAACCCAGAACCGAACCGCGAACCCGGGAACCCAGCGTGCGACCAACATCGGCGGGACACTTTCGCCAAATCTTTCAACTTCCGCGAAGACCCCTTCAGTGCAAGCACTGATTGAGGACGGTTGGGCATGTCCGCCTACATGCGGATTTGGAACCACAAATGAAATATAGTCAAACAAATCTAAAATAGTGAAACAGAATCCTAAAATCGTCCCCTGACAATCTGTTACCACTGATAAGTGCTCCGCCTGTGGAGGGACATGCCCGACTTGACCTCACGCGTGGCCCAGCCGCCTCCTTCTAGAGGCCTCCCTGATGGGGTGCGAGTAGATGGGGTCGGAGGAGGAGGAGGAGGAGGAGGAGGAGGAGGAGGAGGAGGAGGAGGAGGAGGAGGAGGAGGAGGAGGAGGAGGAGGAGGAGGGAGGAGGAGGAGGAGGAGGAGAGGAGGGAGGAGGAGGAGGCGAGGAGGAGGAGGAGGAGGAGGAGGAGGTATAAGGGGAGGAGGACGGAGAGGAGGAGGAGGAGGGAGGGAGGAGGAGGAGGAGGAGGAGGAGGGGAGGACGGAGGACCGCGCCGCGTCGCCAATGCATCGGCGATGCGCCGCCCATGCATCGGCGACGTCGGCGACGCATCGGCGACGCCGGCGCGGAGAAAATCGGGCTCCACATCGAGCCGCATGTGCGATGCGGCGCAGTTCTCCGACTCCGCCCGCTCCGACCCCGTCTGGGAGGAGGACGAGGAGGAGGAGGAAGAAGCAGAAGCAAATTAAGAAGAGGAAGAAGAAGCAGACGCAAAGTAAGAAGAAGAAGAAGAAGAAGAAAAAGAGGAGGAGGAGGAGGAGGAGGAGGAGGAGGGGGAGGGAGGATGGCGGCCCAGGCCTCCTCACCCTCCCCCCCCGCCTGGGGGCCCGCCGCCGCCCGAGAGGCCTTGAGGGGGGCGCCCCGGCCGCGGCCGTGCCGCCAAAGACTCTCCCGCGGGGGGCCACGCTCGTGGGCGGGGGCCCCGGGGCGCCCCGCTCTGCCAGAGGGAAGTCGGGCGTGTCCCCTATACAGGGGGATTTTCGACGAAGAAATAAAAATCCCCCGCAAAAAAAAACTCCAAAAGTGTCAAGAACAAAGAAAAACTCAAAAAATGATACCCGGACTATGTTTTGCCTATTCTGGAACATCCCCCCGGTAGAGGGACAGGCCCGACTTCGTGCCAGAGCTCGGGGGCGTGCAGGGAGAGGCGGGGGGGGGGGGCGCCCAGAGAGGAGGGGGGGGGCCGCAGACCACGGCCCGAGGCGCGTGCGCGGCCCTGGGGGGGGGAGGCGGGGAGCGCACACACCAAGGAGAGGAGGCGCCACGAGAGCTGGGAGGGCAGCATGGCCCCCGTGCGCGGCCAAGGGGGGGGGGGGGCGGGGAGCGCACACAAAGGAGAGGAGGCACCACGAGAGCGGGGAAGGCAGCGTGGCCCCCGCCAGGAGAGCCGGTCCCCCTCCAGTCGTCACCCCCCTCTCTGCCGCCCCCGGAGGACGCGGAAGAGAAGGGTCTCCGTTGATCAGGGCTCGAGCTGAACTGCTGCCCGTTGTCGGCTTGTTTTCGCTATCCCTCCTTCTGTCGTCGTTACCCCTTTGCTGCCAAACGGGAGCAACCTGAGAAGAAACGAAAACCGCTGGCAGCCGACGAAAGCACCTCAAAAGCAACCTCGAACCTACGCGCCCGCCCCTTCCCAGCATTGGATGTCTCCCAAATCGGGTCCGAGTGGACGGGACCAGAGGATCGCGCCGCATCGCCGACGCATCTGCACCGGCGATGCATCGGCGATGTGTCGGGCGATACCTCGGCAACGTCGGCGTGGAAAACGCCAGGCTCCACATCGAGCCGCATCGCCGATACCTCGGCGACGCGGAGCGATCCCCCGGGCCCACCTATGCGGACCCCTCCCCCCTTCTCGGGCACCTACTGCCCCGGGTCAATCCAAGCCAGGCTCAGGCCTTGCAGGATCCTGCAGGATCCTGCAAAATCTAGGTCGGGCATGTCCCCCTAAAAACGAGTTTTGGACGAACAATAAAAAACGAAATACTCAACAAATGTCCAAAACTAGTCACAACAAATCGTCCCACAACTATTTCTTGACTCTTTTCGAATATTCGAAATACGCGCGGAGCGCCAACAGCTTATGTCTATGGCGTTGTGTTTCTTCTGTTCCCAGTTATTATTATTATTCTTCTTATTCCTATGATTATAATTTCTCTTCTTCTGCTCTTATTAGTTCTCTTCTTCTTATAGTTATTAATATTATTATCATCATTATTTTTCTTCTTCCTCTTCCTCTTTTTCTTCTCTCTCTTCTTCTTTGTTATTATTATTAGTTTTCTGTCGAGTGGGCCCCGCGGGGCCACGACGCTCGCCCTCCCCGAGCCTGCCGAAACGCGCGCCCGCAGCCGGGGCGCCCGGCCCCCCTATAGCGAGGCTGCGCGGGGAGGGCGGGGCGGCGCAGGCCGCCCGCAGCACGGCCCGGTCCACGTGGTCCGACGGGATGGGCACGCTGAGGTAGCGGAAGGTCTGCGCGAGAGGAGGAGGAGGAGGAGGAGGAGGAGGAGGGAGGAGGGGGAGGGCGGAGGAGGAAGGAGGAGGAGGAGGAGGAGGGGAGGAGGAGAGTATAGTGCGGAGGAGGAGGAGGCGGAGGAGGAGGAGGAGGAGGAGGAGGAGGAGGAGGAGGAGGAGGGAGGAGAGGAGGAGGAGGAGGAGGAGGAGGAGGAGGAGGAGGAGGAGGAGGAGGAGGAGGGGAGGAGGCAGGAGAGGAGGATGAGGAAGGAGGAGGAGGAGGAGGAGGAGGAGGAGGAGGAAAGGAGGAGGAGGAGGAGGAGTGAAGGAGGGAGGGGAGGAGGAGGGAGAGGGAGAGGGAGGAGGAGGGGTGTCGAAATCGAGGGGTCCCCCAGGGGGGTAATTAAGGACCACAGCGCCCCCCATTGTGGCTGGCCCGTCTGCGCCCCGCCGCTCGCGCGCACGGGGCCTCCGGCGGAGGCGAGCGGCGGAGGCGCGGAGGCCACGGCGATCCGCCGGCGGCGGCCGCGGCGGCGGCCACGGCGACGGCCACGGCGACGGCGACGGCGAAGCCAGCCGGCGGGCGTCTCGGCAAGATCGGTCCTCCTCCTCCTCCTCCTCCTGCTCCTCCTCCATCCTCCTCCTCCTCCTCCTCCTCCCCTCCTCCTCCTCATCCTCCTCCTCCCTCCTCCTCCTCCTCCTCCCTCCTCATCCCTCCTCCCACCTCCCTCCTCCCTCCTCCCTCCTCCCTCCTCCTCCTCCCTCCTCGACGGGGGTCTTGCGTCGTCTTCGGCCTCTCGGGGCCCTCGGCGGGCCGCAGGACCGCCCGAGGACGGCCGCGGGGGACGGAGAGCCGGCCCTCCCGGGAAGTGGTCGAGGAGAGGCCGGGGGGCCCGTGCCTCGACGACGCCGAGGCGTCGGCTGTCCGGGCAGTCGCCGCCCAGCGCTCGGAGCGGAGGAGCCCCGGGCACCGGGACGACAGGCACGTGGCTTCTCGACGCGCGCCCCCGACGCCCCCGCTGTACCCCAGAGTTCGCAATAAAAGGGAGGGGGTCTGGACCCTCCAAGACAAGCCATTTCAGACCCCCCCCCGTGGGAGAACCCTCCAAAACATCGTCCCCAGACCCCCCCAGGCCCTCCAAGATAGCTTGGAAAAGACCCGCCCGCCCCCGAAATGAGACCCCCCTCCCTTTATTACGAAATCTGGAGTACTTTTCCAGGGACCGGCGCGTAGATCTAGCGGGGTGGGGCGACGGCAGGAGAGACCAGAATCGCATCGGCAGATCCGATGGGCGATCGAAGCGACTCGGATCGGCAGGAGTCGGCAGCCGAACGGGGAGAAGTCGAATCCGCGGGAATCGGCGGGCTGGTATGCTCCCAGTGCGACACCGGAAGCCAAATCGGAATCCCGAGCCGAATCGAATCGGAATCGGAAGCCATCGAGGTCCAATCGCATCGAAGCGGGGCCATCGAAAGGAGCCCATGCGACGGCGGCGGCGGCGGCGGCGGCGCGGCCTGCAGGAAGGCAGCGGCTCCTAGATGGGAGCGGGGCGCCGATGCCGGGCGGCGCCCCGGGGCCGGGGCACTCCGCGGGCCCCGGGGCCAGGGCCGTCGATAGAGGCCTGCTGGGAAGGGTCGGAGTAGATGGGGTCGGACGGTCGCGCCGCATCGCCGATGCATCAGCGATGCATCGGCGATGCACCGGCGATGCGTCGTCGACGTCGGCACTGCATCGGTGCAGTCGACGTGGAGCAGATCGGGCTGCACATCGAGCCGCATCGGCGATGCATCGGCGATGCGGTGCGATCCTCCGACCCCATCTGCTCCGACCCCATCGAGGAGGCCTAGAGTCGAGAAAGAGCACCGCGGGATAGCGAGCTGATCCTGGGGGCAGAAGGTCCCGGGGCCCAGGGCCGTGATGGCGACGACGGCGGCCGGCAGTGGCGGCAGCGGCGGCGGGCGGCGCCGACGGTCGACAGCAGACGACATGCAGCCGCAGACGATGGCAAGTCTGGGAATCATGAGCGCTTCCCAGCGTGACCACGTTGCCATGTACGTTATTGCGCTGTGGACGTGGCAGGCCACGTATGGGGCGCAAGCTATCCAATAGGCTATGTGGTGCAACCTTCGGAGGCAACCACTGGGAGGTTTTCGTCGGAAGGAGTAAGGAAGATTAAGCCCCATTATGGGGCTGTTGCGCCAGAGTGGGCCTCGGATCAGGCGGGATTAAGCCGGATTAAGCGGGATTCAGCGGGATCAAGCCGCATGAAACGGGATCCAGCGGGATGGAGCCGGATTCCGGACCAGGGCGAAATCCGAATTCTGACCACCCAGGAGTTGCAGCCGAGATAGACCACGTGATGCCATCTGTATATGGTGAGAGCTGGGTGGCGAAACGTGTCAGAAAAAAACAAAAAAAAACTTCGGCGAGCCCACGCAGCGCACCGGGCGACGGCGAGGCGGCCGCGAGGCCGCCCACGGGCGGGCAGCAGGCGGAACCTCCGCAGAGCCGCACGCCCGACCGCACAAGCGGCCCACCGGGCGCCCACAACCAAGGCGCCCAAGGACACACACACACACATATACATATATATATATATATATACATATATATAAATTCACACAAATAAAATGACTACCCATATTATCTCCAATAGTTTCGGAGTTTTTTTTGTCTTCCCGCCCAATTCCCATATATTCTCTTATCTTCTGGGGAATCGACGATTACTTGTGTCTGTGTGTTTATTCCCCTCCTGACACAAGGGTAAGTCGGGCGTGTCCCCCTACAGGGGGATTTCCGACGGAAACAAAAAAATCCAAAAATACAAGGGTGGGCAGCGTGGCAACATCTCGGCACACCTGTCCAGCACACGAAGCGCCCAAGAGGGGCCCAACGCGGCCAAACCTCGGCACGCCCATCCAAATACGGCAGGCAGCCACGCGCGAACTCTGGAGCGCGAGCGCTGTTTGGGGGTAAACTGGCTCTCTGAACCTTCAGCCATACACGTGTCCCGCGCCCCGGCGTCGCGTCCGCCAGACTCGGAGAAACCTAGCTGCGGACGAGAGCCCCCTTGGGGCCTCGCGCCAATCATCACGCCGCGGAGGCAGGGCCTTTGGCCAACGGATCAGGCCAATGGCCAGTCAATGCCCCCTTGGGTAAGGTCGGGCCTGTCCCCCTACAGGGGCATTTTGGGCGAAGAAAAAATATTCAGCAATTGCTCTCAAAAAAGCTCAACAATAATTTACAAATCGTCCCCCTTGACTAATGTTTCACTATGTTTGAATATCCCTCCTGTAGAGGGACAGGCCCGACATAACCATTGGGGAGATTGTTTCCAATCATCCCGAAGCTCGACGGCGCGCCCAAGGAGGGGTGGGGGATCGAGAGGGGGCGGCCGGACCTTCTCAGAAGGCCCGGAAGCTCCCTGGCCTCCTGACGAGCGCCCCAAGCCCCCCCCGCAAGAAACGGGAGCCTCTCAGGCGACGCGAGCGCTCCTGAGAAGCCCCGCGGCCGTCTGACCAGGCCTCCTCCCTCTCACTGTCCACCCCCCTCGCTCGCGCCCTATCTTAATCATCCGTGTCTGGGCTTATGTTGCTCCCATCCACAAAAACTTTCGAGCACCCAGAAGAGTATCGAAACAGTGTCGGGCGAGTATCAGCTCCCAGGGCCCGACACGTGGAAACCTTCCAATTGCTGTATGTTCGTGGTGCTCGAAATTCTTCCTGGTGGTCATCAAGGCTAAGATAGGCTGGAACATCATAAGTCCAGGACGCCAACCGTAGGAGAGGACACCCGCCTGGCGGCGACAGACACCCCCGGGACGGCGGCCAGCAGGCGACGATGGGCGCGCCGCCAGCGCGAGGCCGCCCGCGGCGGCCGCGAGGGCGGGCGGGCGGGGGCTACGCTTAGGTCGGGCATGTCCCCCCGCAGGCGGCTTTTGGGCGAGGGCCTGCGAGCACTCACCAAAAATGCCCCGAATAAATAGTCCACAGATGCTCCATAGCTCCTCCCCGGGCTACTTTTGGCCTGCCTCTGGATGCTCCTGCTGTAGAAGGGCACGCCCGACGTGAGGCTGCGCCACGGAAAGATAGATGCACGGATTTGGGCGCCCGAAATGGGTACGGAAAAAGCGGGTACAATCAATGCCCAACAACAAATGTTCTCCCAAACCCACAGCGGCCACTGTTGGGCAGGCAGCCTTCGGTCTCAAATGGACACAGGCCTCGGCGTCGCGGACAGCGAGTCCTGTTCAAAATGAGCAGGAACTGCTGTTGTCGGGCCGGGCGAACGGGGGGGATAGCAAAGGCGGGGTTTGAGAATCAGCTCGCGTAGCCGATTTTCCCGGCGCCTCCGGGCGCCAAAGGCCCCTATGTATCGAGGACTGGGCCCGGCGGCGGGGCCGAAACCAGCTGCAGGCAGCAGATTTCGAACCCCCCCCTTTCCCAATCTCCCCCTTTCGTTCGGCCCGATGTTGGGCATCGTACCCATTCCCAGACATCCATCCGACGTCCCGTTTTTTTCGAGACGCGGGCCCCCGACCTCCCGACCACTTCCCCGGGACGGATTTTGTCGGTTTTTGACGGTCCCGAGGCCCGGCGACGGCTCCGAGAGGTCAAACACTGCGAAACACCTCCGTCTCGATTTTTTCGAGACGCCCGATGCCTGGCTTCTTCCCGTGCCCATCTCGCTCGTGCCGAACGGAAAGGCGCCCGCCCACCGAGCTCTCCGCGCGCCCCCCTCTCGGCGGCGAGCCCCGGGGGGCGGGGGTTAAGCGAGAGAGGCGGGGGAAGCGGGCCCGCTCGGCGGGCTCGAAGCCCTGCGGGCTGCCCGGAAGATGTGCTGTCGTTCTCCCCCCCGAGGCGCATGGGGCAACTTCTCGCGGGCCGGGCGCAAGGGGACGGTAGCACAGGGGGGGGGGGGGTGAGTCTCGGCTCGCGTGGCCGATTTTCCCGGCGCCTCCCGGCGCGGGGAGGCGCCCATGCATCGAGGAGTGGGCCCGGCGGCGGGGCCGAAACCAGCTGCTGGCAGCAGATTACGTAACCCGCCCTGTCCCTCTCCTGCGGGCAATATTTATATCCATATCCAGTGCGTCTTGGACTTTTTTGGAAGGGGCGCCGCAAGGCCGAGGCGCACTGGATGTGGATAAACATTTAGCCTTGTGGAAGCATATTATGATCCATATCCAGTGCGCTTCATGCTTCTTGGGAAGAGAGTCCGAAACTCCAAGGCGCACTGGATGTGGATATAGGCATTGCCCGCATATCCCCCCCCCTTTCGCTCGGCCCGATTCTCGGAGGGCCAGGGCGCTGCGGAGAAGCCCCGCCGCCTGCCCACGAGCCTCCTCCTTCGCACCTTCCCCCCCCGCGCTCGCCGCCGAAAGAGGCCGGGCTGTTGTCCGCATGGCCTCCAGGGGTCGCGGCGGTGCACAGAGTCGCTGGCTCTTGGTGGTGGTTCAAGCACCGCCATCCTGCCCATGAGACCCAGAAACAATCAAGGGCGCGTGACTGCGCGCGCCGTGCTGCGCGAAGCGCGAGTCATTGCGCGCTCTCGCGCCGCCTCCCAGGGGAGAAGAGGAGGACGAGGAGGAATCGGAGCCGAACTGCGAAGCGCGAGCAACTTCGCACCCTCGAAGGCGCCCTTCGGAAGAAGTAGGTCAAAACATGAAGCAGGAAGTAGGTAAAAACATAAAGCAGGAAGGAGGAAAAACCTGAACAGGTAAACCATGAAGTGGTTTAGGTCCTCACAGAGAACGACGAAACACAGCTAAGGATCATCGATTATTGAATTGGTAAGGCGCTTGAAGAAGATGAGATCTAAAACTATTTAAAAAATACCTACAGAGCGGGCGCGTCCGCAAGAGACCCTCGCAAGAAACCCAACCCTGAAAACCCGCGCGCGAGGTGCACCTGAGGGGAAGCCCAGAGGACCCTGAACGCCAGCAGCTTCTTTGCCGGCCGCGGGAAGTCACCGCCCAGCGCTCGGAGCGAAGAAATCCAGGGCACCCGGACGACAAGCACATGGCTTCTTGAGGCGCGCCCCCGGCGTCCCCACTGCACTCCCAACGACAGGCGTGCATATCTTGTGGGGTGTGGCGACGGCAAGAGAGCCCAGAATCGGATCGACAAGCCGGGGATGGACAGAACCCCCTCCAGTGAAGCGTGGTTTAGTGAAGAAGGCCTCGGGCCCAAACCTGGCGGGCGCTAGCCTGGAAACTGACGGCCGCGGCGCCTCCTCGAGAGCCGAAAACGGACAATTCACTAATCGTGTCAGGGCGGGGGGGTCTGTCCGCCCCCGAACGAGTCGGATCGGCGATCGACGTGAATCGGACCGACGGAGACTGGCAGCCGAGTCGGGAAACGTCGAATCGGCAGGGATCGGCAGGCCTGCGGGCTCCAGTGGACAACTGCGAGCCCAAATCGGCATCCGAAGCCGAATCGCATCGGGACCGGAGACCGTCGAAGCCGCAGCGCCTCGAGTCGGAGGCACCGAGCCGAGCCCCGGGCGGGGCGGCGGCGCCCGCGCCTCGAACGTGGACGACTGCGCGCCGCAGGCGCCGCACGTCAGCAGGGACCGCAGCTGGCCCTGCCGCCGGGAGAGGCACGGGCTCGGCCGCGCGGGGGGGGGCGGCCGGAGTGCCAGCTCCGCGGCAGCCCCCCCACGCCAGGAGCGAGGAAGGGCGACACCACCACCACCAGGGGGCGAGGAGCGGCGCGGAGGCAAGGGGGGTCTGCCTGGTGGTGTGGCCCCCCCCCCCCTCTCGCTCGAGACATCCCCTGATGGTGGTGTGCCCCCCCCCCCCCACCACCATCGTAAGTAGGAGGGGGAGGGGGTCCTCCTCCTCCTCCTCCTCCACCTCAACCTCCTCCTCCTCCTCCTTCTCCTCCTCCTCCTCCTCCGCCTCCTCATCCTCATCCTCATCCTCTTCGTCCTCCTCCTCCTCGTCCTCCACCTCCTTCCCCCTTCAACTTATGGTGATGGTGGTGGAGAACACGCCCGTCACCCCCCTCTCGCTCGAGGCATCGTGGACCTCCTCGCCGGAGGTGGGCCCCCCGGGTGGTGTTGGCATCGCGTCGCCTCCCGCCGACCGCACCAGGCAGGGCGAGTGGCCCACTAGTCAGAGGCAGCCAGGGCGAGGGGAGGGACTCGGGCGAGGAGGCGCCGAGCAGCTCTCCGAGATCTGGCGGCCCCCGGCGCAGGCGTCGAGCATCGCGGCGTTCTCGGAGCCTTCTGGACCGCGCTGGGAGCGGCCCGGAACCAGGCGCTCTCGCGCCGCCCCCCCCCCTCCCAAAGGGAGAAAAGGAGGACGAGGAGGAGGGGGAGAAGGAACGAGGACCGCGAAGCGCGAACAGCTTCGCGCCCTCGTGGGAGCCCTTGTGGAACGGATGTATCCTCGTCCTGGCCCCGCCCGACCACACTAGCCAAGCGCGTTTCACTACTCGCTGTGTGACTGCTCGCAGACGGCCTGGACCCGCCGGGGGGGGTCCACAGTCCATAACGTCGAGGCACACCTGTGTGCCTTTCGGACGGTTGCGAGTAGGCACTCTGCGAGAGAAGTGGAACGCGCTCGGTGACATACAGTCGGACCTGAGACTCTCCGCCGGCCGCACTGAATAGCATTCGAGAGTACCATCCCCCAGGATGCACAAGAGCATCCAGCAAACACGAATAACATCAGGGTACCCCCCGAACCGACCTCGATCTTAGGCTCAAGACAGCCCAAGAGGCCCCCAAGATCGCCCAAGAGGCCCCCAAGAGGGACCCATGACGGCCCAAGTGGCCTCCAAGACGGCCCCAAGGGGCCCCAAGACCGCCCAAGAGGCCCTCAAAGACAGCCTCCAAGAAGGCCCGAAAGGGTCAAAATGGTCTCCAGACGGCCAAGATGACCTTCAAGATGCCCACGTGTTCCCCGAAGGCTTTCCAAACCGATTCGGGGAACACATGGTCCGATAGCTTGGCAGGTCTGGCCTCAACGTTCGGCCACATAGGCGCTTCCAAAAAGGCAGGGGGCGGCGGTGATTCGCCGTAGGCGACTTCGATACTAACAAGCTGCTTGGTTTCAATTGATTGTCGCTGACGTCGTCCGCACGACGTTTCCTATGTTTTGCCAGGCCCCTCGCCCGCCCGCGCAACTTCGTTCAATTCCCCATGTGTTCTTGTTTTCAAAACTTAGTCAACCCGTAGAGTAAGGATGCGCGATAAGGATGCAATGCCCTTGGACGCCCATTTCGAAGCTTTTCGAGCAGGGCGCGGCCAACGAGAGTGGTCAAGGATAAACCGAAGAGGCAAAGATGTGAGGGTACCCTTGGGAAGGTCGCCCATCCTTACTCTGCGAATTGACTGTAACTGCCATTTTCAGATGCCGTTGTCGTTCCGGTGTCGCTGCCAGGTCGGGCCACGTCCTTCTTGAATCGACGGCAACTGCACTTCCGTTTTCATCATGGCACAACGAAAGCTGAAACGTGGGAAGAGCGCCCTGGCCAAATTGAGTGACCATTGTCCACCCTCTCCCACCCTCGCTCTCGCCCTTCTCTTCCTCCGCATCCTGAGGCGCCCGCCCCAATGGACACTCCCGCCCTCACCGTCCTATTCGTCCAGGATCCTCGTCTCGGCTCGCATCTTCAGACGCCCCGCGCACCCCTCTTTCCCAAAATCGCGCACGGTGACAGCACAAGCGAAACCCGAACGAACCGAGAGCGAAGCCCGAACCGACCGAAACCGACAGGCCGCAGGCAACCGACCAAACAGAACCGCCCGAACGCAGCCGACTGCGACGCCAGTCGAGACTATCGAACCACGGACAGCTTTGAGTAGGAGACGAGAAATCTACATAAACATCAACGTTAGCCAACGTGGACCCCAAGCCGTAAGTCCTTGCACTGATTCACGAAAGCTATGGGGTGTAAGCCATGCGGTGTGAGCTATGGAGGCGAAAACTATGTTGAATAAGCTATGCGGTGTAAGCTGCGTCGTCTGAGCTACGCGGTGCGATCTCGAGAAAGAAGCTACAGCGTGTAAGCTCTGTGGTGTACACTATGTTCTGTTTTGCTATGGCAAGAACCAGACCCATCAGAGGTCTGATTTGCACTCGGCGCGTTCAAATACGAAGCTGGGCAGTCGGCAAAATGCTTTTGCAACAGCTTACCTGACAACAGGAAGGGACGCGACAACTGTGCACGTTGCACACAGATCGCTGACATACGTGACAAGGCTTGCCCTACGAGACACGGCTTGAGTGCTAGCCAGTCGCTTGCCAAAAGTAAGCTGGTCGATTGGAAAACGGTATGACAAAATAGAGCGCTCAATATGCACTCGAAATTTAATTACTAAAACCTTTAAATCAAATGTGACTGACCAACAGAAAACGTGAAACGGTTGCGTCATCGACTGGATCTGAGAACGATCAGCTCAACTCCTTCTTCTGCCAATTGAAGCTGGCCGCCTGGACGGAAGACTCGCCCGTGTAGCCGAGCTTCTCCTTCCAGCCCGGGTAGATCTGGTCCGCGTCCTTCTGGAAGGTCAGGAAAGCACCCTTGAGCTCTTCGTGCGTCTTCGCGTACTCGACGACGCCGTCCGACAGGCTCACGTCGCCGTAAGTGCCCGCCTTCCACAACTTCCACGACTCCTCGCCCTGGGCGCACGAGATTGCGCCCTGCTTGGGCCCGTCCTTGTGCCCGAAAGCCCCGCCGCCGGCCGTCAGGATAACGTTCGAGTGCCCCAGGTTCTCGAAGAATGCAGGCAGCCGCAGGGCGTTCATGCCACCCGAGATGATCGGGGTGGTCTGCTTCATGCCCTCCCACTCCTGGCGGTAGTACGGGCCGTCGGCGACGTCGTCCTGCAGCATGAAGCCGATGTTCTTGTCCGAAGCATCGCCCTCCATCTTGCCAAAGCTCATCGTGCCCGTGTGGATGCCGCTGGCACCGATGACGCGCGACAGCTTGGTGTGCACGAAGGCGGTGTACCCACGCTGCGTCTGAGGGCTGGTCACTGCGCCGTGGCCGGCGCGGTGGTAGTGCAGAAACTGCTTCGGGAAGTTGCGGCGCGCAACCGTCACAGCAGTGCCGCCAGCCACATATCCGTCGACCAAGAAAGCGCAATTCTCCGCCATCGGGCCCATCTGATTCAGGATGTACTTGGCACGCGCGATCATCTCGTTCGGGTCGTCCGCCGTGATGTTGGCGGAGAAGAGCTTGCCCTGGCCCGTTTCCTCCTGCGCCGCGCGCATGGCCTTCACGACCTCGGGGATGCACTCGTTCATCTGGCAGAACGTCTGGTTGCCCTGCGGCTCGTCGTTCTTGATGAAGTCGCCGCCCTGCCAGAAGCCATAGCACGCCTGGCCGAAGGGCTTCGGCTGCAAGCCGAGCTTGGGCTTAATGATGGTGCCGACCACCAGGCCACCGCCGACCGTGCCGCGGCCCAGGATGCGCCACATGTCGATCACGCAGCACGACGGCCCGTCGAACAGGCGTAGGTACTGCGGCGGAAAGTAGATGTCGTAGATCTTGCCGTAGTCCACGTCACCCATACCCTGGTTGTTCCCGATGCTGAGAGTCAGCACGGAACACATCATTGCGCGGCCATCCGTGATGTTGCGGTCGAACAAGGCCGTCGGGTAGGCGATCTTCATCTCCTCGTTCTCAGGATCGATGTAGTAGACGAGAGCATCCACAGTCTTGGTGAAGTCGTCAGTGGTGCACACGTTCACGTTCGTGCCAGTGGAGGACTCCGCCGCGAAGTGCGCAGCCGTGGCCAGGTAGTCGTAACCCGCCTTGGGCTTCATGATGTAGGCCACCAGCACGTGCTGACCGTTTTTGATGAGGTCCTCCTCCGTCAGCGAGAGGTCCGCGTAGCGGCTCGACTGGTCCAGGGCACGCCGGGCCACGGAGCTCGACTTGCGAGTCGTGCTGACGCCAACGAACGCCGCGGCCAAATCCTTCTTCTGCCAATTGAAGCTGGCCGCCTGGACGGAAGACTCGCCCGTGTAGCCGAGCTTCTCCTTCCAGCCCGGGTAGATCTGGTCCGCGTCCTTCTGGAAGGTCAGGAAAGCGCCCTTGAGCTCTTCGTGCGTCTTCGCGTACTCGACGACGCCGTCCGACAGGCTCACGTCGCCGTAAGTGCCCGCCTTCCACAACTTCCACGACTCCTCGCCCTGGGCGCACGAGATTGCGCCCTGCTTGGGCCCGTCCTTGTGCCCGAAAGCCCCGCCGCCGGCCGTCAGGATAACGTTCGAGTGCCCCAGGTTCTCGAAGAATGCAGGCAGCCGCAGGGCGTTCATGCCACCCGAGATGATCGGGGTGGTCTGCTTCATGCCCTCCCACTCCTGGCGGTAGTACGGGCCGTCGGCGACGTCGTCCTGCAGCATGAAGCCGATGTTCTTGTCCGAAGCATCGCCCTCCATCTTGCCAAAGCTCATCGTGCCCGTGTGGATGCCGCTGGCACCGATGACGCGCGACAGCTTGGTGTGCACGAAGGCGGTGTACCCACGCTGCGTCTGAGGGCTGGTCACTGCGCCGTGGCCGGCGCGGTGGTAGTGCAGAAACTGCTTCGGGAAGTTGCGGCGCGCAACGGTCACCGCAGTGCCGCCAGCCACGTATCCGTCGACCAAGAAGGCGCAATTCTCCGCCATCGGGCCCATCTGATTCAGGATGTACTTGGCACGCGCGATCATCTCGTTCGGGTCGTCCGCCGTGATGTTGGCGGAGAACAGCTTGCCCTGGCCCGTTTCCTCCTGGGCCGCGCGCATGGCCTTCACGACTTCGGGGATGCACTCGTTCATCTGGCAGAACGTCTGGTTGCCCTGCGGCTCGTCGTTCTTGATGAAGTCGCCGCCCTGCCAGAAGCCATAGCACGCCTGGCCGAAGGGCTTCGGCTGCAAGCCGAGCTTGGGCTTAATGATGGTGCCGACCACCAGGCCACCGCCGACCGTGCCGCGGCCCAGGATGCGCCACATGTCGATCACGCAGCACGACGGCCCGTCGAACAGGCGCAGGTACTGCGGCGGGAAGTAGATATCGTAGATCTTGCCGTAGTCCACGTCACCCATACCCTGGTTGTTCCCGATGCTGAGAGTCAGCACGGAACACATCATTGCGCGGCCATCCGTGATGTTGCGGTCGAACAAGGCCGTCGGGTAGGCGATCTTCATCTCCTCGTTCTCAGGATCGATGTAGTAGACGAGAGCATCCACAGTCTTGGTGAAGTCGTCAGTGGTGCACACGTTCACGTTCGTGCCAGTGGAGGACTCCGCCGCGAAGTGCGCAGCCGTGGCCAGGTAGTCGTAACCCGCCTTGGGCTTCATGATGTAGGCCACCAGCACGTGCTGACCGTTTTTGATGAGGTCCTCCTCCGTCAGCGAGAGGTCCGCGTAGCGGCTCGACTGGTCCAGGGCACGCCGGGCCACGGAGCTCGACTTGCGAGTCGTGCTGGCGCCAACGAACGCCGCGGCCAAATCCTTCTTCTGCCAATTGAAGCTGGCCGCCTGGACGGAAGACTCGCCCGTGTAGCCGAGCTTCTCCTTCCAACCCGGGTAGATCTGGTCCGCGTCCTTCTGGAAGGTCAGGAAAGCGCCCTTGAGCTCTTCGTGCGTCTTCGCGTACTCGACGACGCCGTCCGACAGGCTCACGTCGCCGTAAGTGCCCGCCTTCCACAACTTCCACGACTCCTCGCCCTGGGCGCACGAGATTGCGCCCTGCTTGGGCCCGTCCTTGTGCCCGAAAGCCCCGCCGCCGGCCGTCAGGATAACGTTCGAGTGCCCCAGGTTCTCGAAGAATGCAGGCAGCCGCAGGGCGTTCATGCCACCCGAGATGATCGGGGTGGTCTGCTTCATGCCCTCCCACTCCTGGCGGTAGTACGGGCCGTCGGCGACGTCGTCCTGCAGCATGAAGCCGATGTTCTTGTCCGAAGCATCGCCCTCCATCTTGCCAAAGCTCATCGTGCCCGTGTGGATGCCGCTGGCACCGATGACGCGCGACAGCTTGGTGTGCACGAAGGCGGTATACCCACGCTGCGTCTGAGGGCTGGTCACTGCGCCGTGGCCGGCGCGGTGGTAGTGCAGAAACTGCTTCGGGAAGTTGCGGCGCGCAACTGTCACCGCAGTGCCGCCAGCCACGTATCCGTCGACCAAGAAAGCGCAATTCTCCGCCATCGGGCCCATCTGATTCAGGATGTACTTGGCACGCGCGATCATCTCGTTCGGGTCGTCCGCCGTGATGTTGGCGGAGAAGAGCTTGCCCTGGCCCGTTTCCTCCTGCGCCGCGCGCATGGCCTTCACGACCTCGGGGATGCACTCGTTCATCTGGCAGAACGTCTGGTTGCCCTGCGGCTCGTCGTTCTTGATGAAGTCGCCGCCCTGCCAGAAGCCATAGCACGCCTGGCCGAAGGGCTTCGGCTGCAAGCCGAGCTTGGGCTTAATGATGGTGCCGACCACCAGGCCACCGCCGACCGTGCCGCGGCCCAGGATGCGCCACATGTCGATCACGCAGCACGACGGCCCGTCGAACAGGCGCAGGTACTGTGGCGGGAAGTAGATATCGTAGATCTTGCCGTAGTCCACGTCACCCATGCCCTGATTGTTCCCGATGCTGAGAGTCAGCACGGAACACATCATTGCGCGGCCATCCGTGATGTTGCGGTCGAACAAGGCCGTCGGGTAGGCGATCTTCATCTCCTCGTTCTCAGGATCGATGTAGTAGACGAGAGCATCCACAGTCTTGGTGAAGTCGTCAGTGGTGCACACGTTCACGTTCGTGCCAGTGGAGGACTCCGCCGCGAAGTGCGCAGCCGTGGCCAGGTAGTCGTAACCCGCCTTGGGCTTCATGATGTAGGCCACCAGCACGTGCTGACCGTTTTTGATGAGGTCCTCCTCCGTCAGCGAGAGGTCCGCGTAGCGGCTCGACTGGTCCAGGGCACGCCGGGCAACGCTGGCGCGCGACTGGATCGGAACAACGCACGAGGCCTGGCCAGCCGCCAACTTGCTGGCGCGACCGCGTCGCTTGGACCCGACCGCCGCGGCGAGGGCGGCGGCGGCCGCTGGCGCTGCCAGGGCCGCCGCTCCCCCCGTGTTGCTGGGCTGCTGGGCGTGCGCGGCGCCGCGGAGGGCGGGTGCCGCCTCCGCAGGGGCAGCCTGCAGCGTCTCCTCGACGGCGGCGCGAGGCGCAATCTGCGAGGACACGAAGGACTGGCCGTGCTTCAAGCACGCGACAGCTGCCAGGCCAGCGGCAGCTCCGAGCGAGGCGCGTTGGGCCATGGCGCGGGTAGAGCCGAGCCGAACTCGCACTGTCTCCAAGCTGGTTCTGCAAAAGTTGCGTCAGCCAGAACGGCTGAGTCAAAAAGGCTACGGAGGATGTACCCTGCGTTGTGCAAGCTATTCGGTGCCATCCAAAAACTTGAAGCCGTTAACCCCACTGCTCGCGCAATCATCCCGCACTCCCACCCGCAACCCGGCACAACCCATGCGGCCTCGATTGCGGCGACTACCTTGCACTAGCTAGCCAATCTGCGGCTGCGCCAGCGCGCGCAAGCGCGCGCAGAGCGGCCAACTGGTCTGGCTCAACTGGCCCGGCCGCGATGGCGCTGAACGATGAGGAATGCCCACTGCGTCTCAAGGGCAGCGCTGGCCCGCGTGGGTTGGTGACACGGGCGGGCGCGGTATCATGATGACGTCGGCAACGGTCGACAGTTGCAGCAATAATGATGATAGCAACGATGATGGTGGCGATGATGACGATGACGACGGCAAGGCCGATGATTGCGCCGATGTTGGTGACGACGATGGCGATCATTATGTCCATGCGCCGATGATAAAAATGATCGGCTCATGACAGCGCCAGTGGCAGCGATTGAAGATGACCATAACGGCAGTGATGTTGTGGCGATGATGAGGGTGATGATCAAAAGACGCGCGTGCGCGGAAATCCAAGGAGGAGGAGGAGGAACCCGGGCAAATTGTGTGTGTCAACCAACAGCTGGTGCACACGCGTGCCTGAGGAGCTCAGATTCGGACACACTCGCGCGGAGGCGCGAGCGTGGCCCGCGTGGCATTAGCTGATAGCTCTTCGCTCACTGGGCGCACGCTGGATCAGCGCGGATGCGAGGAGGAGGAGGAGGAGGAGGAGAGGGAGGAGGGCGAGGAGGGCGAGGAGGAGGTGGGCTCTGGGCGAGATTGCTAAAAAGTCCGCCCGGGCGACCCCTTGTGGGTCCTCAAGGCTGTGAGATGGCCCCCCCACCGATACCCTCTCCTTCCAATCAAAAGCTGCGCGTTTACGATGACACAATATGATAACGACTCTCGTATCTCCCCTGACTCTGTCCGGAAAATGTTCGGCCCCTTGTTATTTTGCACACAAGATTCCGGCGAATCGGTCTTTCACATGTGTTCTTACACATCCGTTTCTTTCTGGTCCTTTGAAATTTTGCTCCTGCTACAGCGCTGGCCTCATTTTGAGGGCTTCCGCTCGTTCCGAATCGTGCTCCCGCTGCAGCGCTGACCTCATATCCGCGCTCCCGCTCGTTCAAAGTCGTGCTCCCGCTCCAGCGCTCGCCTCATTTCTGCGCTTCTGCTCGTTTTTTAATCGTGCTCCCGCTGCAGCGCAGGCCACATTTTCAGTGCCATGCCATCGCAAGCAATGCAGTGCTATGGTGCGTTCCGCTGCACGATGCCATGCCGTAAGCTGCAATGCTATGATATTCAATGCTAGACTACGCAGTGCCACGAAATGCTATGTCATGGTACACGTTGATCTTCAACGCCATGTTATGCCATGTTATACTATGCCTTGTTCCTCACATGCTTAGTGGGGTTAGGGTTTTCTTCCCTGCCTCCTCCCCACCTTCCTCCTCCCTCTCCTTTCACACAGCACATCACAGCGCAGCACAGCGCAATACAGCACAGCACAGCGCAGCACAGTACAGCACACAATACACATAGACACATACAACTCACACAACGCACACACACACACACACACACATCACAACACACCACACACACACACACACACATGCAGCGCAGCACAGCAGAGCACCGCTCAGCACAGCACACAAGCACACATCACAACACACAGAGCACACACACACACACAAGCAACGCAGCACAGCACAGCACAGCACAGCACAGCACAGCACAGCGCTGGCGTGGCAATTTCTCGACACCAGAGGGGGTGCGCAGGGGGTGGTCTCTCACCGCGGCCGCTATCCACGACAATGTCGAAAAGACTAGCACGCGCGGCAATCTCTCGACACCAGAGGGGGTGCGCAGGGGGTGGTCTCTCACCGCGGCCGCTATCCACGACAATGTCGAAGAGCCTAACAGGCGCGGCAATTTCTCGACACCAGAGGGGGTGCGCAGGGGGTGGTCTCTCACCGCGGCCGCTATCCACGACAATCTCGAATAGCTTAGCAGGCGCAGGAATTTCCCGACACCAGGGAGGGCGTGCAGGGGGTGGTCTCTCACCGCGGCCGCTACCCACGACAAATCGGAAAGCGTAGCAGGCGTGGCAATTTCCCGGCACCAGAGGGGGTGCGGAGGGGGTGGTCTCTCACCGCGGCCGCTATCCACGACACTGTCGAAAAGCCTAGCAGGCGCGAGCCTGGGGACCTCGAGTGGTGGGCTTGATCTCCACCGCCACCACCATACGTAGGAGGGGGAGAGGGCCCTCCTCCTCCACCTCCTCCTCCTCTTCCTCCTCCTCATCCTCCACCTCCTCCCCCCTCCAACTTCTGGTGGTGGCGGTGGAAAGCACGCCCACCACTCAAGGGGGGAAGGGAGGCCCCCGCTGGGGAGGCGCTGGGGAGGGGGATGCTCAGTTGAGCAGGGACCGGCCGTCCTGGCATGCCTATAGCTACGTCGGGCGTGTCCCCCTACAGGGGAATTTCGACGAAAAATGGAAAATACAAAAAAATACTCCAGAATGGTCAAATGATACTTTAAACATAGTCCCCAGAATATGTTTCACTATTTTGAAATATTCCTCCTGTAGAGGGACGGGACCGACTTCAGCCTATAGGCTAACCACGAAATTTTCTTAGATCCCAGAAATGCCCCCAAAACAAACGCAGTGCCATTATAGCATAAGCCCGACTTGCTAACACACGACAGACTCAACCAGACATGTTCTCTAAGAACAGGTCGCGCAAACCACATAAGGTTCTTATTTGGTGGGCCGATAGGCGAGCCGGGACGCTTCGCCACTGCTTGACTGAAGGAAACCACAAAAAGACAAGCACGTTCCACGACTCGCAAAGTTATGTACTCGCAAATGGCATGGCGCCACCGCAGGAACGTCTGCGAGTAGGCACTGGCCCACGGTGTTTAGGGATACCCCTAGGCAGATTGGCGTCTTGTTCAAAAAAAGTCCCTAATGTTTTTGGCCCTCCTCGCTTGGGTCCCTCCCCAAAGGAGTAGGGGTCCTTTTAGTGCTTTGTATGAGGGGGCTGTCCTTGCGCAATCCGATGTCGTACTGGCCCGATCCTCCCCCTCCCCTGCAGAGCTGCGTCCCTATGGAACCCTGGCACAAATCGTGAGAGCAAAAAGAACAACTACCACCAGAAATCCGTTCGCAGAGCTCGCAACAGCAGCCTGCGCCAGGCTCGCGCTGCGCAGTGCCACTGGGCGTGTGGCAGACACTCAGGCAGGTGCAAGATTTCCCTGGAGGGGTCGTCGTCATTGGCTTCTGTGCACGCTTGCTGCTGAGCATCCCGTTTTCCTCGCCAGCACGGTCCCCGGCTCCCGCCTCATTGCGCCCCATCCGTCTCTTGAGAGAGGTCGGTAACTTCCTGCCGAAGATGCGCGTCTCCCTCCTCGGTCTCGTCACCCTCACCTTCCTCCCTTCCCATTCATCATCCTCGACCACTCTCCCCTTATCCTCCTTCTCCTCAATCCCCATCCCGCTGCTCGTCATCACCCTTCTCACCCCTTTCCTGTTTCGAACAAACCACCCCGTCCACATCCTCATTCTCCTCCTGTTTTGCTTCGCACCCCCCATACAAAGTCGCCCCTAGACGTCGGTCGGACATCTCCTCCTACAGGCAAATTTTGAACGGAAAATAAGGAATGGAATTCCGCCACATGCTCCAAACATGCTCAAAAATACTAACAAAATCGTCCCCAGACTGTTTTGTTACTATTTGTGAATTCTCCCCCTGTGGAGAGGCAGGCCCGACTTCACCCTATACGCACTCGGACCCCGGGGCCCACCCCGAGCTTGTGGTGCCCCCCACAGGGCACGCCCCCAGAGGGTACCCGGAGCGGAGTGCCACCACCTGGGGGGGGGGGGCCGCCCCCGCGAGGACTCCGTGTAGGCGTCGAGGCATCCGCCCAGGGACATCCTGCGGATGCGGATGCGTCCGAGTACGGCTCCCAGAACGTATCGCCCGAAGTCGATGCGACGATGGAACAGTGCAGGCCCGTGGCGTCACCTCCTCCTCCTCCGACTCATCCTCATTCCCCCCTCCTCTCCTTCCTGCTCCTCTTCCTCCACGTCATGGCATGCCATGGCTTCGCACGTGGCGAAATGCCTGCGATCTACGCCACAGTGGAAAGGGATGGGGAGATGGAGGAACCTACGAGCGGTAGGAAGGATTGGCAGAGTAAGGACGAGGGACAAGGAATGCCACGAGGATGGGGGGGGTGACAAAGGGGGCGAACGCGCGAGTCGACGCGTGCCCAGACCCCGCGCGAAAGCCTACACCTCCGCAGAAGGGGGTCGGGCACCCACCCTTGCTGGTGGTAGTGGTTCTCTCCTCTCTCGTGAACATGCCTCCTCATGCCACGCGCCGCCGTGCTCCGACAGGCGTCATCCGGAGGAGAGGAGTGCGGAGGTGGGGAAACCCAAAGGAAGGGCCCGATACCGCTGCTCCCCGGACCCCTCCCGTGGTGCGTTCTGGCCAGGATTTCGAGGCGCATCCAGCGGTGGCAACGAGGGGCACCCAGGAGGCCGAAGAAGGGAAAACCGAGGCAAGGGTAGCAGTACCGGTACCTTTTCCCTCTCTCAGACCCCTCTCTCCTGCCTCACACCATCACACGGACGACACACGGCGACGACGACGACGACGACGACGACGACGACGACGACGACGACGACGACGACGAAGACGACGGCGGCGGCGGCGGCGGCGGCGGCGCGCTCCGCGCCGCCTCGAACACGTCCACGATGGGGCTGCGGTTCTGCGCGCGGTGGCGCTCCCACTGGAGCGCGGCCTCCGAGGGCGAGGGCCGCGGCCTGCCTCTGTGCCTGCCCGGCCACCGCC